TCACTTCACCCTTGACCACACTTCCTATTGTCCTGTCATTGTTGACTCAATTTGCTGGGGTATTTGGATTGCGAGTCAATGCATCCAAATCATTGGCTCTTAATATCAATATCCCCCAGGAAGTGTGGTCTCGGTTGTCGGAACATTTTGATTTTACCTGGTCCACGGAGGCTTTGCAATATCTAGGGATTAAACTTACACCTGTCTTTTTACAACTATATAAGAAAAACTATATACCCCTGTTTCACCAACTCCGGGAGGATATGTCTCGATGGGACTCCTGTAATTTGTCATGGCTGGGTCGCATTCATGCACTCAAAATGACGCTGCTCCCCAAGATCCTATATTACTTTCGGGCTCTACCCATAGCTATACATAAGCCAGATCTTTTGAAATTCCAATCTTTAATTATTAAATTTGTTTGGCATGGAAAACATCCTAGACTTTCGAAAAATGTACTGCACCGTTCTAAATGGACAGGGGGTTTGGGTGTCCCCAATCTCTTGCAATACTATAGGGCAGCGTGGGTGGCTCAGCTTTCCTCTGTGTATGACCAGGGATATACGCCAGATTGGATCCTAATGGAATCTCTCTCTGCCTCGGGTACACCAATTGATGCCTTGAAGTGGATGTCCCTGAATCAGAGGCCGGTCATTATGGCCACGAATTTGTCTTGTTCTATGATGGTATGGGACTCATTCCGAAGGGGAGGTGGGTTGGTGTCGCCTCACACTCCTCTGGCTCCCGTCTTCCACAAACCTAATTTCCCCCCGGGAGGATCTCCTGGAGCAATCCATTGGTGGCAAGACAAAAGTCTGTACCGCATAGCACAATTCTTTTAAGGTCGCAAGCCACTTACTTTGACCTACTGTCAGGAGGTTTTGCACATGCCATCTTCGGAATACTTTCACTACAGACATTTGTTACACTTTTTAGGTTCTTTGAAAACACCTAACGTGATGTCTCCCTTTAGAACAACCTACGAACATTGGTGTCTTGGAGCCGGGGGCCAGAGGGGGGGAGTTTCGCTGCTTTATTCCCCCCTCCCCCCCTACTACTTGACATGTGCTATTTTATTGTTTTATTCTACTTTGGAAAATTAATAAAATACTTTGAAAGTTAAATGCATTTTTAAGGATTAACTCCTGACTTTTGTGTCTGTTTAAAAAAGCTGACTAGGTCAGTATCTAATCATTTTTGTATAGTGAGTGTGATATGCAGTTTGGAGAATGGTGAGCTAGCACTATAAGCACACAGCACACGTTTGTTAATGCAGGAAGGGTGACTAGATCCAGCATAAGGAAATTCCTGGGGTGAGGGTTTATATTTGTGTGTTCTGAACTTACATATTGTCTGTCACTTTGAGAAAGGAGGCCTCAGTGTCTACAAAACATTGGTGTTTTTATTTTTGTTTCTGCACAGTGTTGATATTGCAACTTAGACCTTAGTAAATTACAAGGTCTGTAATCTTAGGTGGGCTAGCCATTTTTTCGGGAGATGTGAATCTCCCTGGTAACCATGGACTTTTTTGTAGGGCTGGTAATGATTAAAATGTTCCTGTTCGATTAATCGAAATTTGTTTTAATCGATGAATTTCGATTAATTATAACGCACATACAGATCCAACTACATTGGCCTATATACAGCACAGCAATGAAGTAATAAAATGAACTAGGATCACACTAATCCAGCACGTTATTAATCTCACGTGCCCCACTCAATATGGCCGCCGCTTGAGTGGGGCAACTCAGAATAATAACGTGCTGGATTAGTGTGATCCTAGTTCATTTTATTATTTCATTGCTGTGCTGTATGTGTATAGGTCAATGCCAGGGATCCCAACCTGAAATAAGCAATTTCAGGGAGGTGTCCCTCTCATTTCAGGGAGATGCCCTCTCCCCCCCATCCGCGGAGGGGGGGGGCTGGGAGAGAGCACCCCCCGGAAATGATGGCAGATAGCACAGGAAGCAATAGCTTCTTTGCTATCTGCAGACATTTTTTTTTTTTTTAGTATTCTGCCAGTTGCAGTTGTCAAAATAATAAAAAAAAAGGCATAAGAATGCATAGCTAGATTCCGATTGGCTATTTCACTTTGCAATAGCCTATAGCAAACTAGCTATTGCACCCGCCCCCTGCTGCTTTCAATCAGCAGAAGAGGACCTGATAAAAAAATTCAGGTCCCCCTCGGCTGATTGACAGCAGCAGTGGGCGGGTGCATTAGCTAGTTTGCTATTGGCTATTGCAAAGTGCAATAGCCAATAGGAATCTAGCTATGCAATCGTATGCGCCCCTTCCCGTATCCCATCTCTCCAGTCAGCCCCCCAGTCACATCTTTCCGGGCCCTCCTCTACACCGCATCTCCTTCCTTACCGTTGGTTCTGGTGTGGCAGAACTGCAGAATGGTGAGGGGGCAGGGATATCCTATATCCCTCCTTCCCTCACTTGCTGCTGAGCTGGGCAACTGTTGCTTCTGCACTCTGGGCTGTGAGCTGGTTTTAAGGTATTCTCAGCGCATTGGCAGTTACCAGGACCCCCACTGGGTAAGGTGAGTTTGACAGGGAATGGTAACACTGCTTGTGTACACCGCATGCAGCGTTACAGTTCCCTGTCAACTCGGAGGCAAGCAGTGGTGTATCTGTGGGAAAAAAGCACCCATGGAAAGTGATGACAATGTGCTCCCTGCCCAAACGTATGACACGCACACAAAACATATGCTGGTACATTACATTTCCCTGCCTGCAACACCTGCAGCCTGTGCCCATATCACAGTGTGTGCTCACTTTGTTCTCTTGCTTCTCCCAGGCCGGGTCAAGTAGCAGCTCTAAGTCCCAGTTTTCCTTCTCCACAGCAGGGTTCACTCTCCTATGTGCCGGTCCTTTCTTCTGGGCTGCACGTCTGGCGCGAGGACTAAATTAGAGAGCCTCCTCTGGACAGATCGCTGACTTTAGTTCCCAGAGCCGGCAAGGACGGGGAAGGAAAGGGGGAGGAGTCCAGTGACGTCACGGACATCGACGTCACCTGACTCCTCCCCACTTCCCTTCGTTAGCCGACAGAGCCACTTGGGGAAAGGGGGAGGAGTCCGGTAACGTCGATGTCCGTGACGTCACCAGATCTCCGACGGAAGACCCGGAAGCCGGCAGAGAGGTGAGTACGGATCAAAAGATCTTTGATCGATCAAAATAATTTTGATCAATCAAAAAATCGAGGGATTAATCGTTAATTTCCGCAGCCCTACTTTTTTTATTAGAAATGATGGTGCTTTGGTGACTACTTTCTAAGAGGGAGAGAGGCATAGGAAGTGATGGAATATCCCCCCAAATGGTACACAGACATAAATAATACTAGACAGGGGTCTAAACCATTCCCCACTTAAAAGAAAGTTTTGGCTTTTTTTAATTTAACGTGTATTTCCACTTTTGCAGTCAAATTGTAGAAAACCTCTCTATATGTTTGTTGTGTATTCCCATTCGTACAGCATAACAGAATCAACGTTTTCACACTTTGGCGCACCCGACGCATGTTTGTGCGTGTATGTGGGGGAGCAGTGGCCTTTAAAAAACAATTTTGTGTTATTTTACTTTTGTTTTATTTGTAACTTTTTTTGATGCTTCCATTTTTTGATGCTTTAATTTTTTTTACACTTAACTTTATTGCTATCACATAGGGGGCTAAGATACCCCCTATGTGATAGCCAAGTCACATGACAGGTCCTCTTTATGGAGACATCAGGGGTCTCTAAGACCCCTAATGTCACCTAGGGACCCCCAAAGAAGCTGATAAAGCAGAGATCTGCTTCAGCAGCTTCTCACCGGCATCTGTAGCCGGGAATGACAGCAGTGAGGTAATATACATCACTTCCGGCAATGTGGCAGTGAGGTAATATACATCACTTCCTGCATTCTGGGACCGGAGAGGAGATCAAAGGGAGATTGTGTCTTCCCTTGTCTTTTGGTCAGTATCCACCACCAACTCTTGATTCCTGATTTTAGTTACCATAAAATTAAATTCCAACATGGCGGATATGGAGTTAGTTACACAGAGAGGACCAAATAGTATACCTACTACAACTATTAGAGCAACAGGAACCCAGATTGTCCAGTAGACATGTGCAATTCAGTTTGAATTAAAATTTGCATGAATATTGGAACATTTGGACATTCGGATGCTAATTTTATTGAAATTATTGTCTATCCCAAGACAAGCTTAGAGTGATGTCTACTTTACAACACACACAGGGACCATGGGGCTACCACCCTCCAGAAGAAAGGGCAGGGTCATCACAAATTCAGAGAGGATGTGAGGATCTATAGCAAAATAAGCTACATTTTTGTTAATAGGTAAGGTACTTAAATGCAGTCCCCCCACCCCCACAAATTCTCACATCCCCTTTGGTTTACAGGATGTAATGATGACGCCCTTGTTACATCAACATGGGGACTGAATTTTGCTCTGAAAATATAAAGGATGTCATTAGCACATTAAGCTATTTCTGTTCAGCAAATGTCCATTTTAATGACAAATGATGTCATTCAATAGCTATAACTATTGAATGACATAATTTGTCATTAAAATGGACATTTGCTGAACAGAAACAGCTTGGTGTGCTAGTGACATCCTTTATATTTTCTTATTATCTCACGGCGCCAACATGGTCACTGCGAGCACCCATTTGTATTTTTTCAAAAATCCGTCAAGGAGTGCAGCAAGATACATATACTTTTCTGATTTTTGCTCTGTTCGCTCATTCAACTCAATCAGCCCGTACCACCTCATCCTTTTGAACTATACCCTCTGCTACAGTATATTCAATATTTTCCATATGGCCTGGTGGGGTCATTGCATGTCAGAAATATCCTTAATCATCATTTATCAAGATTGTGTTTTACAAATACTAAATGGTTTTAAAAATGTAATTCATAATAGCTACATTGACATTACTTTATATATGAATGCAGGATACTTTGCTGCTAATTATATAAAATAAAATATTTTTATTTCAGGGATAAGTCCAAGAAGCTAGCAGAGCAGGCTGCTGCCATTGTTTGTCTCCGGACACTCGGTCTCCCCGAGGGAAAGATTGGTGAGGGAGAAAGTGACCTTGTTTACAAAAGGAAGAGAGAATTCCATTATCAGAATGTTGGCTCAGAAAACCTGTCAGAAATGCCGCTTACAAAGAAACTACACCATGATGATGACAAAAGAGAAGATAAAGATTAATACATTTGATAAATTAATAAAACTAATATTTTAGTATATTCTGTTTTTTCCCAAAGATACATAGTAATAAATAGTAATTTCATTAAATAAAACATGCATCATTCACACCTGAATTAGTATATCAGTAGTTCTTTTCAAGTAACTTCCTGTGTTCTATACTATTATCAACAATTGCTTTTCAACCTGAAATATAAATATCAGACTCTGCAAGCATATTTAACATTTTAGACTGTAGAATGTAACCCTTAAGATTGTTTTAACTCATTTATGGGTCTATTTATTAATGTTTTCACCCAAGGTCAAAAAACTGTTAATTGTCACCCAATATTCAATTAGAACATTTTGTGAATCCTGGGTGAAAGCATTAACCATGTAATACTGGGTTTGTTTCACTCCTGGATATATCAAGCTCTTATAAATAGCCCTTTTTGGGAGGTTAGTCAACCCCGCCTGTAACCGAAACTTACGGTAAAACAAGAAAGATACGAACTTTCTTATAGATGAAGGCAGTTCAAGGTTTAACCAATGGCTGGGACAAACCACAATGTCACATTTTTAGAGAAAATTTAATTTATTTCTAATCAAAAGCGAACATAGAACACAGCCATGGGAGCCCCATGGGCACCATCGTACGCCTGCCTACATCTGGGCCTCTGGGAACTAGAGGAGGTATATCAACACCCACTCTATGTGGAACACGCAATAGTCTGGCTCAGATACATCGATGATGTAATATTATTGTGGAGGGGTGGTGAGAACCTCCTGAAGGTGTTTCTTTCAGAGCTCAACAAAAACGAAAGGAATTTAAAATTCACCCACATCTTTAGTAACAAACAACTCTCGTACCTCGACCTACTGATTGAGATAGAGGATGGACACATAGTAACTAAGACTTTTCATAAAACGACAGCAGCGAATACCCTACTGTATGCCGCAAGTCATCATCCATCACCGTTGATATGAGGGATTCCAACGGGCCAATTTTTCAGAATCAAAAGGAACTGTTCTAAATCAATAGATTACCCCAACGAATCTAAAGCCCTGTACAAAAGATTCAGGGAACGAGGGTACCCACATAGGACCCTAAGAAAAAGCAAAACAAAAGTAAAAGAAAAAATAAGAACAGAACTATTGAAAGACAAACCCAGAGAAGATGACATGAATAAAAATTACACAAGAATGATAACAAAATATGGCTCAAGCTGGGAAAAATTAAGATCTGTCATGACAAAACATTGGCACATCCTCGAACTCTGCCCGATCCTAACAAAAATAGTAGGTCCAAGACCACTTCTGACAGCACAGAGAGCAACAAATCTGAAAGATACCTTGGTGAGCTCAGAATTCAAACCAAAACGATTAAATCAAAACTCCAACAAACCGAAAGGTATGTTCCCCTGTGGCAGATGCAAGATCTGCCCCCTGGTGGAAAAAACAAATACTTTTAAAAATACGGAAGGCACTAAAACCTACTGAACAACTGAAGATCAGAATTGGGGAACATCTAAACGACATAAAGAGAAAGACAGCCCATTGGCTATGCATTTTGCGGAAACCCATAACAGCCAAACAAAAGGTCTGAAGGTAAAAGCCATATATGCACTCAAATTACCCCAAAGGAGGGGAAATTTTGACACAATACTACTGCAAAAAGAAAAAATGTGGGTGTACAGACTGAACACTCTGATACCGATGGGCCTGAAAAATGAATTCAATTTGAACATGTTCCTGTGAACTGCTTCAATCTCACCCAGAGGATATGTTCCCTCCGATACCATTATGAAATCAAGAACCACAGAGATATATGTAATGCCAATCCTCTCTGTTTTCCGTCTTTTTACTCATCCATTATATTGGTCTTTGTCCTCTTTTTGTTAATTGTTTTTTAAAACCAACTGTTTTTTTTCGGTGCAACGAGGAAACGACATAACGATGCCAGCAGACAATATTAATTAACAACCAACAGGTGAGAATGGCATATATATGTGCCCTTCACCTGTAGAGCAGAACGTCCTGACGAAGCCCCAAGAGGAGGGGCGAAACGCGTAGACGCCGCTCAACAACTAGGTGGATGACCCGGAGACTGCCGGCTGTACAGCCCAAATATTTGGATCAAAAGTAACGTGTGGATTGAGCCAAAAGCACCAGTGGAAGGTGCATGCGCGAGGCTCCAAAGATGGCCGCGTAGGCCGCGAGCTCCGTACCACGGCGGGCTAAGACGTCTCACCCCTCCAGCAGCAGCGTCGCTCCAGGAGCGCATCGCCACCCGATTTCTCAATCTCGGCACCCGATCTCTGCCCTGGTTCGCGCAGGTCTCCTTACCATGACCAGGGGGAAGCAGAAGGGCAACAAGAGCCGTTCGAAGAAAGGTACGCGGCAGGCGCCGGCGGCCCTTAAGACAGAGACAGCTCGGGTGGATCAGGAGGAGCAGGCTGATACGTCTGCAATACAAGAGGAGGCTGACTAAGTGGAATTGACCTTCTCACCATCAGTCCTGGCGGAGGGGGGTTCTTGGAGCAGAGATCTCCAGGTTCAACACTGTCCCTGCTGGAACACACATGAGCAGGTATGAGGCTCCCCCTTTATGATCCCTCCAGTACTGAACTTCATGAGAGTGATGCACAGGATAATGCAAATTCCTCTCAAGATAATATTAGCCATATGGATTCGATCACAAAATTTTCAAGTATGCTAGAACATGGCTTATCCTCCATGGCAAGGGAAATTACTTCACAAATCAGGGGCGATTAAAGAGAGCTGTGCACACGTATTGAAGCGATTGAAAAAAAGCTAGATATAACAATAGAACGCACCAATCAAAACACCGCTTGCATCCAAGATGTTCAGAGCCAACTAGAAGAGGCGTTATCTAAAATTGATGACTTAGAAAATAGATCCCGAAGAGATAACTTTAGAATTAGAGGTGCCCCAGATACCGTTATCGATTTGAAAAAAGCTGTCCAATCTTTTTTGGGGGACTTATTACCAGATGCAACTAATTCACAACTAGAACTGGATAGAGTCCATTGCGTATCAACAGCTTTGCGCTATGAGGGCTCTTCAAGGGACATTATAGGGAAACCGCATTTCTTCCACATAAAAGAATTGATTATGCAAAAAGCAAGGGCTGCACCAGAGCTGATATTTATGGGTCAACAGGTACAGATTTATGCGGACCTCTCGCCAGTGACTATTCAAAAAAGACGCTCCCTGAAGCCATTGCTTCTAGCCTTAACCGAGCAAGGGGTGAAGTACAGGTGGGCATTCCCATTTCGTCTGCTATTCTCCTATAAGAACCAATCTTACTCCATCACTAACCTCGCTGAAGGCGAAAATTTGCTGAAACGGTTAGGGATCACTGTTAAAGATCCTTCATCAGTGTCTACAGCGGATCCTATACCAAGTTTACAGCAGGCCAAATGCCTAATCTCGCCTCTCTGGGAGAAGCAAGGTAGAAGGGTAGAAGGACACTACCCTACACTCAAGTCCATGGAGAACTCGTAAATAATTTAATCCCTGGCCTCTTTAAGTGAAATAGGAACTGTCGTGGCCATGTGTTGGGAAAGGATTGCATGTCTATATTTAACATAGGGTTAATATGTATATTCCTGTGTATTCTGAAGTAGGATTTGGTCATGTTTAAATAGAACTGGAATGATTGTCTGTCCCTTTTTTTTTTCTTTTTGAAAATGCCAATATAAAGTTACGATGTATTAATTTTGTGTATTTTGGGGTGGGTACCGCCAGCCGTAGGTGGTCGTGCGCTTTTAGTTTGTTCTGGCTCCCAGGGTGATCTGGGGCCTAGACCAAACTTTCGTAATGCCGTCTGGCGACGGCAACCCGCGAATGCGACAGTGCCGTCCGTCCGTTTTTCTACTACGGGCATACGGCAACTGGTTAAGATGATCGAGTTAATTGACAAGGAAGGGGGATCTTTTCCCCCGACCGGTCCTTTTTCTTTTTTCTTTCTCCTTAATTATTTTTTTTTCTCTTCTTTCTTTCCTCTTTTTTACCTCTACATAATTTGTATATTTTTATTTATTTTTGCCTCCCCAGTTTGGGCAGACTCTAGGAGGTATTGGATTTTTTGCTCCCGATTATACAAACCCGAGGTTGGGCAGGCACAGAGAGGCCTAAATTATAGTTGGATTGTAAAAGCTAAATGACTATTAAGATAGTGGGTAAACCCTTGTCTCTAGCTTTACATAACACCCAGGGCTTGAACTCTCCGATTAAGAGATGGAAGGCTTTCCAACATTATTATTCTCATCATATAGATATTCTCTTTCTCCAAGAGACTCACTTTGCTGCCACTCACTCTCCATCTTTTATGCATAAACATCATCCGAAATTTTATGTTGCAAACACCACGGATAAAACAAAGGGGGTGGCTATATTCTTTGCTGCAGGGGTCTCCTTTAAAGTACACCTTGAGATTAGAGATCCAGGGGGTCGGTATATTTTTCTTAAAGGGTATATTGAAGACCAACTATTCTCATTAATATCTTACTATGCTCCGAACACAGCCCAAATACCCTTTTTCTTCTCCATGATGGGAGCTTTGTCACTACATATAGAGGGGATAGTTGTTTGTGCAGGAGATTCCAATATTGCATTGGACTCCACCGTAGATGAGACTTATAAAGGGAAGACTAAATCTAAACCCCGTGTTAAAGTAGGATTAGAATTCGCCCGACTACTGTATACATACTTTCTGATTGATATTTGGAGGGAACAGAATCCCTCAAAAAGGGACTATACACACTTTTCCTACGCACATGGGACTTATGCAAGAATAGATCATATTTTTATTTCTTCAGCCTTGGTCCCCCGAGTGATCTCCTCCAATATTAAAGATATTGTTTGGTCTGACCATTCTTTAGTCACGATGACCATTCCCCATGCATCCTACTGTAATAAACCATTTCAGTGGAGGCTAAATTAATCACTACTAAGCACACCTGTCAGGGGATCCCAGCGCAGGTGACCCCACACCTGCACAGGTACCCTTACAGGCAGACCAAACACATGTGACCACATGGACCAGGTAAGTATGGTATAT